AGTCTGGTCTTCTTACTAGAATTTGAGTTCTGCACTCCACCTTTCTCCTGCTCTATCAGGGCCTCTCGGTTGTGTTCCCTGTCAGGACGGTCATTGGTGGTAGCTGGGCACCATCTAGTTCTTCTGGTCTCAGGCTGATAAAGTCTCTGGTTTATGTGGCCCTCTCTGTCTCTTGGGCTAATACTTTCCTTGTGTCTTTGGTGTTCTTCATTCTCCTTTACTCCAGGTGGTTGGGACCAATTGATGCATCTTAGATGGCCGCCTGCAAGCTTTTAAGACCCCAGATGCTACTCACCAAAGTAGGATGCAGAACATTTTCTTAATAAGCCTTGTTATGTCAGTTGACCTAGATGTCCCCTGAAAGCATGGTTCCCAGTCTCCTACCCCTGTTACTTTGTCCCTCAAAGTATTTTAATGTATTCAGGAAACTTCTTAGCTTCGGTTAAGTCCAGTTATGCTGACTTCCCATGTAGTGTGTGCTGTCCTTCCCTTCACCTAAGATAATTCTTATCTACTATCTAGTTAGTAAGTAACCCTCACCCTCCCTCCCCACCCTCATAACCATCAAAGAATGTTTTCTTCTGTGTTTAAACCTTTTCTTGAGTTCATATAATAGTGGTCTTATACAATACGTTCTTGACAAATTTCTTGAAGTGCACTTAAAAACACCCAAATCACTGTGGAATGATAAATTCAAACATTAAAGTTCAAGGATGGTTGAACTCTTAAGAGAAAAAAGAACTAGTTAGAGTGTGATTATATGTGTATATATGTATATGTATGTATTTTTATTTCCTAGGGTTTATGCAACCTGGTCATTCTAGACACGTATGGAAATATTATTGTATGGAATCAAGAAAACTACCGATTGTTTGTAATATTTCATCTTCCGGAACTGAAAGCTTTGGATGGAATCTCAATCGTAAGTTGTTTTTTGACACATAGCATTTGGTCCCAGCCATATATTCACATATCCATAGGCCATAATCATTTGAGCATTGCTTTATTACTAATATAATACTCGTATTTACTAGGTTTAGTAAAACATAAGTCTCAAAAGCACATTTTAGATCTATATTTTAAAATTTTCTCCTCTGGCCAGTTCTTAATTGTCTAAATTGAGGTGGCAGAGAAGGGATCCTGCTGCTTACATTTGCACCCACTCAATTCAGTGCCTAAAATGTAGAGCACAGCTTTGTGGGATGGGATAGAAGAAACTATGCTCTGGAGCCCTACCATCCAATTGGGCCTAAAAATAGCTTACTATTTCTTTGAAAAATACAGTTATTTATATTTAAGAAAAGTATATTTGAACTGACAAATGGTATATGAACATTGCTATAAACTGTAAAGAAAAATAAACAGAGAACTTAGAAATGAATAATAAAGCAATACTTGGAAACTTGGATTCTGTAAGAAGCAAGTTCATACAGGGCTCCTGTCTTCCAAGTAACAGGGTGTGTGACAAATGTGTAAAGAGTAAAAGAATTCCCTGTGTACCTTTGCCTTGCTCCCATCAGATGCTAAAACTCATAAAATTTTCTAGAAAATAGAGAAACAGCTCATGATTGTTCGGGACTCTGAGGTACTCGGAAAAGATAACTCATCCTTGGCCTGATTGTTTCAGGACCCTCCTCAGGATGGAGATTCTAAAACCATCTTCCCCCCGGCACATACAAATATCCTAGAATCTAGTACACTGGGTTTTATTTAGGTGTTACCTTTCATGAGAGATGTTTTAAACATAGTCTCATAAAACTAGTAGTACATTTGCTGTAATGATGCTGCTGAGGATCTTATCCTGCATATCTCTCAGTGCCCTCATTTGAAGGGCCACATGAGAAAGTATTTTTTTTTAGAGATAAAGTATTGGAAAAACATTTTCTCCTTGGGAAAGGTATGTTCTCCTCACTACTAATGAATGTTATTTAACCGAGTATTTTCCTTTTCACTTTGACCAACTGTTAGGGATTGAATTGTGTCCCCCCAAAATGTGTATCAACTTGGCTAGGCCATGATTCCCAGTATTGTGTAGTTGTCTTCCATTTTGTAATCTGACATTCATTTTCCTATATGTTGTAAATCCTAAATCTCTGCCTGTGGTTAATGAGCAAGATTAGGTTATGTTAAAGAGGATTAGGGTGGAATGCATCACCCTTACTCAGGTCACATCCCTGACCCAATGTAAAGGGAGTTTTCCCTGGGATATGGCATGTATCACCTTTTATCTTACAAGAGATAAAAGGAGAGAGAAGCGAACAGAGAGATAGGCACCTCTGCATGCCACGAAGAAAGAAGTACCAGGAGTGGAGTGCATCATTTGGACGCAGGGTCGCTGTCCTGAGAAGCTCCTAGACCAGGGGAAGATTGATGTCAAGGACCTTCCTCCCAGAGCTGACAGAGAGAGAAAGGCTTCCCTAGGAGCTGGCACCTTGAATTCGGACTTCTAGCCTCCTAGACTGTGAGAGAATAAATCTCTGTTGAAGCCATCTACTTGTGGTATTTCTGTTATAGCAGCATTAGGTAACTAAGACAAAATTGGGTACCAAGAGTGAGGTGCTGATCTAACAGATACCTACAATGTGGAAGTGGTTTTGGAATTGAGTAATGGGTAGAGGTTTGACAAATTTTAAAGTGCCTAATAGTAAAAGCCAAGATTGCCTTGACGAGACTATTGGTGGAATTATGGACATTAAAGACAATCCTGGTGAGGACTCAGAAGGAAATGAGGAGAACTGTAATACCAGAGATGGTGCAGATGGCGAGAAACAGCAGCAGAGACGCAGCAGCAGCAGAATTAGGAGACCGGCTCAAGACAGCATGGGAGCCAACCCACAGAACAAGAGAGCTGAGTGCCTTTGCACAAGAGGCTTCCTGGTGAAGTGAGGTGCCTCCAGGCACTTATTGACCCATGGAGCAAGACTGCTGAGTGCCTTCTGGCCAAAGTTTACTGGCAGTGTGGGGTGCCTGCAGACAGTTAGCAGTAGAGCTAAAGCGCTTTGGAACACTTGCCTGAGCAGGGTAGACACCATGCCAGCCCAAGGTCCTGAGGGGCCAAAATAGGCCAAGGAACCAGGAAGCAGAAACTGAAGAGACAAGGAACACAGGAAGCAGAGTTGCCTCAGTCTCAAAGGGTAGGGCCACAACCTCTTGGGTCTCAAAGTGTGGAGCCATGGCCTCTGGGGTTTCAAAGGGTGGGGCCACAGCCTCCTGGGTTTCAAAGAGTCAGTTCTTCACCAACTCAGTTCTGGATGTGGGGCTGCCGTTCACGAGTGCCAGAAGGATGGGGCCAGATCCACTGCCCAAAGCTGCAGGAGCAGGGCTGCCATGTCCAAGGGGCAGAAGAATGGGGCCTGCCAAGGCTGAGGGGGTAGGGTCTCCACTCAGATGGACTGGGAGAATGGGGCCACCCAGAGCTGAAGGAGCAGAGTTGCTGTCCCAGTGGGCCTGGAAGATGGAGCTGAAGCCCCAGGCCAAGGGGCCTGCACCCAGAATCCAGAGAGTGTGGCCAACACCCAGAGTCTGGAGAGCAAGGCTACTGCCTAAATGGTCTCAGAGAACAGAAGATTATTTTCAAGACTTGAGAGCTAATGTAATGTGAACAGAGAGATAGGGACCTCCTCTGCTGACTTGCTTGGTGCCTATTATCCCTTCTTTCCCTCCAGTTTCTCCCATTTGTAATGGAAGTGTCTACCTTGTGCCTGTTCCACCATTGTACTTTGGAAGCAGATAACTTGTATTCTAAATTTCACAGATGAAGAGTAATTTTGCCCCAGAATGGAATTTCAGTCTGGAATCGATTTAAGACTTTTGAGATGATATGATGGGGTGAATGTGTTTTACATATGGCAAAGACATGAGTTTTGGGAAGCCAAAGGGTGGAATGTTATGGATTGAATTGTGTCCCCCCAACATGTTTATCAACTTTGCTAGGCCATGATTCCCAGTATTGTGTGGTTGTCCTCCATTTTGTAATTTGACATTAATTTTCCCTTGTGTTATAAATCCTAATATCTGCCTGCAGTTAATGAGCAAGGTTAAAGAGGATTAGGGTGGGATGCAGCACCCTTACTTAGGTCACATTCCTGATCCAATGTAAAGGAAGTTTCCCTGGGGTGTGACCTGTATAACCTTTTATCTTACAAGAGGTGAAAGGAGAGAGAAGCAAGCAGAGAGATAGGTACCGCCTCATGACACCAAGAAAGATGTGCCGGGAGCAGAGCCCATCCTTTGGACCCAGGGTCCCTGCACTGAGAAACTTCTAAATCAGGGGAAGATTGATGACAAGGACCTTCCTCCAGAGCCAACAGAGACAGCCTTCCCCAGGAGATGGTGCCCTGAATTCAGACTTATAGCCTCCCAGACTGTAAAAGAGTAGATCTCTGTTAGTTAAAGCCATCCACTTGTGGTATTTCTGTTATATATTCTGTTATAGCAGCACTAGATAACTGACAACTAACTGACAACTAACTGATAACCTAACAGCTCAGGGCCAAATTTATGGCTCAGTAATAGAAACCCTCTAGGGCCTTTTGGTCTGTTTATCCCTATCCCCTATACTTATCCCCTATGATCCACTATGGTGGTGTATTGGTTAAGAGCTTGGCTGCTAACCAAAAGGTTGGCAGTTCGAATCTACCAGCCACTCCTTGGAAACTCTGTGGGGCAGTTCTACTCTGTCCTATAGGGTCACTATGAGTCAGAATCAACTCAACGACAACAGGTTTGGAATAGGTTATGATCTATCCCAACATATTGTTCTTGGTCTTGTTTTTATTTACGATTTATATTTTACTGTTTGATTATGTGTGGTTATGGATTGAATTGCGTCCACCAAAAATACATGTTGTAAATCCTAACCCCTATATCTGTGGTTACGATCAGATTTGGGAGTGGGCTTTCTTGTTATGTTAATGAGACTGGATTAGTGTAGGGTGTATCTTGAGTTGATCTGTTTTGAGATATAAAAAATGTTAAATGCAAGTTAGCAAGCAGAGACAGGGGAAGAGAGATGACAAGCCACATGAAGATTGCCCAGGAGCAGAAGCTCTGAAGAGACAAGGACCTTCCTCCAGAGCTGACAGAGAGAGAAAGCTTTCCCCTACAGCTGGCACCCTGAATTCAGACTTCTAGCCTCCTAAACTGTGAGAAAATAAATTTCTGTTTGTTAAAGCTACCCACTTGTGGTATATCTGTTATAACAGCACTAGATAACTAAGACAGAATTTGGTACCGAGAAGTGGAGGTGCTTCTCTAACAAATACCTACAGTGTTGGAGTGATTTTGGAACTGGGTAATGGGTGGAGGCTAGAAGAGTTTTAAGGTGCCTGGAGCCCTGGTGGCACAGTAGTTAAGAGCTACAGCTGCTAACCAAAAGGTCTGCAGTTTGAATCCACCAGCTGCTCTTTGGAAACCCTATGGGGCAGTTCTACTCTGTCCTGCAGGGTTGGTATGAGTCGGAATCAACTTGACGGCAATGGGTTTATGGTTTAATAGTAAAAGCCTAGATTACCTTGAAGAGACTGTTGGTAGAATTATGGATGTCAAAGGCACTTCCGGTGATGGCTCAGAAGGAAGTGAGGAGAGCCATAGAGAAAGTGTCTGTCCTCTTGGACAATACATATGGCACCAGCAACAGAAATTGCTAAAATGTGGGCATTAAATCTGCTTCTAGTGATGCTTTAACAGGAACTGATGACCATGTGATTGAACAGTGGAGGAAAGGCAATGCTTTTTATGCGGTGGCAAAGAACTTGTTTGAATTATGTTCAAATGTTTGGTGAAAGGTAGAACTTGTAAGCGATAACTTGGGTATTTGGCTGAGGATATTTCTAAGCAAAATCCTAAAGGGGCCATGTGGTTTCTCCTTGCCACTTATAGTAAAATGTGGGAGGAAAGAGATGGACTTAAAAATGAACTGCGCAAAATGAAAACAAAACTTTAAAGATTTGAAAAATTGTATAAACTAGGGACGTGTATCCTAGAATTTTCACGAAAGGTGTGGCTACACGATCTTTTGTTAAAGAGATTAAGCCTGTGACTGATGGATGTAACCAACTACTACAGCAGATAACCCATCAGCTTATACTGAAGGGGACAGAGAAAGAATGAAAGGAAGGAATGTTGTCTGCCTCTTGGAATTCTACAGGCAGGAAATAGGCCAAAAGATCTACATCTGTTATCTCCCAAGAAAAGAAAAGAACCATCCTCGGAGATCAGCAGAACTGTTGGAAGGAATACAGGAAGCAGGCCTTCTTGGTTTCAAGGGGTGGGGCCATAGTCTCACCACCTTTTATCTTACAAGAGATAAAAGGAAAGGGAAGCAAGCAGAGAATTGAGGCCCTCGTACACCAAGAAAGCAGCACCAGGAGCAGAGCACATCATTTGGACCTAGGGTCTCTGCACCTGAGAAGCTCCTCGACCAGGGGAAGATTGATGAGAAGGACCTTCCTCCAGAGCCGACAGAGAGAGAAAGCCTTCCCCTGGAGCTGACGCCGTGCATTTGGACTTTTAGCTTACTAAACTGAGAGTGAATAAATTTCTCTTTGTGAAAGCCATCCACTTGTGGTATTTCTGTTATAGCAGCACTAGATGACTAAGACACAAGGTTCCTAGGTGACCTGCCTTCTTTTCTGCACCTTTCAGTCTTCTTATGTTTGTTTTATATATAATGTGCAGGGCTTTTAGCTCTACTTAGTGGAAGGAATAGGGAGAAGTGAGCCTACTCCAGCCCTCTCTATTTTGTCCTGGAACTGGAGAATTAATGTGATTTAACCATCTGTAAGAAAGAACATCTCTTTCTAAATGTCCTCATATAGGAACCACCAGAGACTGAGAATGCAAAAGATTTGTTTGGTGGCAGACTTACTTCTGACATGATTGCAGAACGACAGGGACATTCAAACTTCACCCAAATGCAAGAACTAAATTGGACTTCATCATCCATCAGGTACAGTCTTTTTATTATATGTTGTCTGACATGATAATTAAATATGTAATTATTATTTTCATTTTTCTAAGATTCATACATTTCTAAGATTCATACATTTGTACATGTTATCCAGATATAACCGGTAATTTTCAGAAAGTCATCCATCCTGCTTCAAAATCTTATACAAACTTTACCATCCTTTGAAATGCATTAATAAATTTTATTATGTGAACTATGATTACAAATGTCATTGATCTCTTTCTTGGCCCTTGCATTTCTCTTTTCTTTCACAACCAAGCTTTTAAAATTAGACTATCCTTGCTAAGCTTGGATTAAAGACTAAGTGTAGAAACAAAAACTATAAAACTCTTAGAAGAAAACTTAGGGGCTTACTTTTCCAATATTTTTCCTGTTCTTTTTAAATAATAACTGTATTTACTTTTTCTAAATTTAGAACTGTGGATTTGATTCCAGTTGATCAATTTAGAAATGTGTGTAATGTGAATCTACAGAACAATAATCTTACCTCATTCAGTGGATTAATCTATCTGCCTAATGTAAAGGTGAGTTGCTCACAAATATCCTTTTTTTCTTTCAAGTTTTTCCAATGCAAATTAAGTTTTTTCCTTTGAATTACAATGTATTTCCATACCATTAAAAAAGAGAAGTTCTTCTTCTTCTTTGTTTTAAATTAAACATGAAAGAGAAACTATTTTGTTCTGTAAACCTTCGTCTAAAGTGGGAATAGCAGCACAACTGGAAGAAAGTAATCGATGTCACTGAACTGTGCATGTAGAAACTTTTGAAATGGTGTATCTTTGGCTACGTATATTTGCACCAAAAAAAAAAGGTCGAGAAGGGAGAGGGTTGACATGTCATGGGTTGTTAACCAACGTCATAAAACAATATGTGTAGCAACTGTTTAATTAGAAACTATTTGTTCTGTAAACCTTCACATAAAGTACATTAAATAAATAAATAATTAAACATGAAAAAGTATTACCTTCAAAACCTCCAAAGTTATTTTAGTTTGATCTCAGTTTTATGTAATTGTCTTAACTGCAGTAAATCTTCCTCTGCAGTACAAGGTGTGATGGGAGGCTGCCAGGTATGGAATGAAGTTAGAGGATGCCAAGGTTCTCAAAGCAGCCTAGTTATCTCCTGCCCTATTGCTGTGACTCAACGTATGCCACACAATTCACACAGTTAAGGTCTATATTAACTAGTTTTTAGTATATTCATAGATATGTGCGGCCATCACCACTGTCAATTTTAGAACAAAAAAAAAAACCCTGTGCCTTTTAGCTATCACTCCCCTCTGACTTTCTCTACCCCATTTCTACCCCCAGCCCTAAGCAATCACTGATCTACTTTCTGTTTCTATAGATTTCCCTATTATGGACTTTCACATGTGTAGAATCATATCCTAGGTGGTCTTTGTGGCTGCATTCTTTCATTTAGCATAATGTTTTCAAGGTTCACCCATGTTGTAGCATGTATCAATACTTCTTTCTTTTTATGACTGAATAATATTCCATTATATGGATATACCACATTTTGTTTATCCATTCATTTGTTGATAGACATTGTGATGTTTCCACCTTTTGGTTATTAGGAATAATGCTGCTATGAACATCCATTTCTGTGTGGACATAGATTTTAATTTCTCTTGGGTGATATACATAGGAGTAGAATAACTGGGTTATTCTAACTAAAATAAACACTCTGTGTTTATTCATTTGAGGAATTGCTAGTCTGTTTTCCAATGAGACTATTACACATTCCTACCAGCATTGTATGAGGGTTCCAATTTCTTCACATCGTTTTCAACATTTGTTATTATCTGACTTTTTATTTTAGCCATCCTAATGGGTAGCTCAGAGTCCCTGGGTGGCGCGATTAACCCCTCAGCTGCTAACTAAAAGGTTGAAGGTTGGAATCCACCCAGAGGTGCCTCAGAAGACAGACCTGGAAATCTGCTTCTGAAAGGTCACAACCTTGAAAACCCTATGGAGCAGTTCTACTCTGCACACATGGGGTTACTATCAGTTGGAATCAACTCAACCATAACTAACAACAACAATGGGTATCTCATTATGGCTTTGATTTGTATTTCCCTGATGATTAATAATGTAGAGCATCTTTTTGTATGTTTATTGGCCATTTGTATATCTTCTTTGGAGAAATGTCTATTCAGATCCTTGATGCATTGTTTTATTGGATTATTTATCTTTTTATTGAATTGTAAGGGTTTTTTATATATTTGAGATACAATTCCCTAATCCGATACATGATTGCAAATATTTTCTCCTATTCTGTAAGTTGTGTTTTCACCTTTTGATGGTGTCTTTTGAAGCATGAAAGGTTTTTTTGTTTTGATGAAGTCTAAATTTATCTATTTTTGTTGTTGCTGCTGCTCACACTTTTGGTGTCATATATAAGAATCCTTTGCCAAATCCAAGGTCATGAATATTTACCCCTAAGTTTTCTTCTAAGAGTTTTATAGTTTTTGTTTCTACACTTAGTCTTTAATCCATTTTGAGTTAATTTTTGTATGTGGTATGTGGTATGGGTCTAACTTCATTCTTTTGCATGTGACTATCCACTTAACCCTGCACCATTTCTTGAAAAGACTATTCTTTCCGCCATTGAATGGTTTTGGCATGCTTGTTAAAAATAAGTTGACCATAGGTGTATGGATTATTACTTGACTGTCAATTCTATTGCATTGATTTATATGTTGATCTTTGTGCCAGTACCACACTCTCATGAATATGGTTTCTTTGTAGGAAATTTTGAAACTGAGAATTAGTGAGTCCTCTTCTTTTTCAGGATTGTTTTGGCTCTTCTGTGTCCCTTGCAATTCCACATGAATTTTAAAATCATCTTCTCAATTTCCACAAAAAAGCCATTTGGGAATCTCACCTGTAGATCAGTTTGGGGAATATGCCTATCTTAACAGTGTTGAGTTTCTAATCCATGGACATAAGATGTTTTTCCACTTGTTAGATCTTCTTAAATTAATTTCAACAATGTTTTATATTTTGTAAGAGTGTAAATTTGGACTTCTTCTGTTAAATTTGTTCCTAAGTATTTTATTCTTTTTGAGTGGAATTTTCTTCTTAATTTCATTTTTGAATTGTTTATTGCAAGTGTATAGGAATACAGTTTCTTTTTGTATATTGATTGTTTCGTGTGTGTGTTAAAGTGTTAAAAATGAAAATTCTTTTCATTGAGTTTCATTACAATTATTACTACTCAGCTGATCAGAATACACTAAAATTTTGATAAATACTTAGTAAACAATTTTATTGTAACAGTATTTCGATGAAATGTATGTAGCTTTATTTAAAAGTAAGTTAAATATTCATGGATGAACATAACATTTGCTAGCATGAGACAATATTTAGCATCAATTTCTACTTTTCATTTATTAAAACAAAAATCATATTAAGCCAATAATAGAAATTGATCGAAGGTTATTTAATATATGATTTAAAATCAGGGTAACACTTCAACTAGGCAGTCAAAAATGTTCTGAAGATAAAAACAACTACCAAAATTCTTATACCGCATCTTATCAGCATTGCCATGGAAATGGAGCCAGAACAGTGTTTATATAATAACAATTTGCCCTAAACCACAGCTTCTAGTCTGACCTTGGAGTTTCTGTTCCTTGAAACTGACTGCAGGTAGATAATTCTTCAAAACAGTCCAAAGCCTAAGGCAAACCAGTTTTTACTAGTTTATCTAGACTATCATTTGACTTTAAGGTGCATTTTAGGAGACCATTTTCTTCAAAGCTCAAGGTTCAAAAAGACACCTAAGTGCAACATCCTGGGTGGGTTAACCCAACCTCCATGAAATCCAGAAATGAGGATTTAGGAGAATTAAAACAGTTTCTCAGTTTTCCCTTTTGATTAGGATTCTTCTATAAAATCTTTGATAAAAAATGTTTGATAATGGTAGCTGGGCACCATTAGATTCTTCTGGCCTCACGGCGAAGGAGACAGTTGTTAATAGAGGCAATCAAACATGGAGTCTATTTCCTCCTCCACCTGGCTCTCCTTTTCTCTGCTGCTACCGATGAACAGAGACCAATTGTTACACCTTGGATGGCCACTCGCAGCCTTTAAGACTTCAGACACAGAAATAGTAAGAACAATATTAGGCCAATTGACTAAAATGACCCATGAAACCATGACCCTAGGTCTTTGAACCAAGGAAACAAATCCCATGAGGCATTTGTTTATTCACTAACAGCATCAGTATATTGGTCTTATATCCTGTGATCTTGTTGAACTCATTTGTTGGTTCTAATAGTTTTTTAGTAGATTCTGTAGAATTTTCTGTTATCTACAAATAGAGAGAATTTTACTTCTTCCTTTCCAATGTAGATGCCTTTTATTTCTCTTTCTTGCCTAATTGTCCTGGCTAGAACCTCCAGTACAGTATTGCATAGAAGTAGCGAGAACAGACGTCCTTGTCTTGTTCCTGATCTTTTGGGGAAAGCATACAGTCTTTCACCATTAAGTATGATGTTAACTGAAGGTTTTTTTGTAGATGCCCTTAATCAGGTTAAGGAAGTTCCCTTTCTATTCCTAGTTTGTTGAGTGTTTTCATCATGAAATAGTGTTGGATTTTTGTCAGCTGGTTTTATTGCTCTATTGAGATGACCATGTGGTTTTTGTTTTTTATTCTACTTATATGATGTATTACATTACATTAATTGATTTTCCAACATTAAACCAGCATTGGATTCCTGGAATAAATCCCACTTGATCATGGTGCATAATTCTTTTTAATATATTGCTGGATTCAGTTTGTTAGTATTCTGTTGAAGATTTTTGTGTTTATATTCATAAGACATATTGTTCTGTAGTTTTCTTGTGATGTCTTTGTCTAGTTTTGGTATCAGGGTAATTCTGGCTTCATAAATGAGTTGGAAGGTGTTTCATCCTCTTCTAATTTTTGGAAAAATTTGTGAAGAATTGGTATTAATTCTTTTTTGAATGTTTGGTAGTATTCAGTGGTGAAGCCATCTGGGCCTGGGTTTTTCTTTATGGGTAGTTTTTTTTTTTATTGCTGATTAAGTCTCTTCACTTCTTATACCTCTGTGAAGATTGCTTTTGTTCTTCTTGAGTCAGTTGGTAATTTGTACCTTTCTAGGAATTTTTCTGTTTCATCTCAGTTATCTAACTTGTTGGCTTATAATTGTTCATATTATTCCTTTATAATCCTTTTTATTTCTATAAAGTCAGTAGTACTGTCCCTCTTATTTCTGATTCTGATAATTTGAGTCTTCTCTCTTTTTTTCTTGGTCAGTCTAGCTAAAGGTTTGTCAGTTTTGTTGAACTTTTCCTATTGTTTGATTTTCCGTATTATTTATTCTCCATTTCATTAATTATCACTCTAATCTTTATTAATTCCTTCTTTTTGCTTGCTTCAAGTTCAGTTTGCTCATTTCTTTCCAGTGTCTTAAGGTGGAAGGTTTTAACTACTGATATGAACTCTTTCTTCTTCCATAATATACTGCTAAGGCCTTTTAACATAGAGAAATAGTTGTCCCTCCAGCTAAGGGATTATTTCATCCATACCAGGCTTGAAGAAATCAGGAGTACACATTGAGAAAACTGAGCAGCTTTCTAGGGCCTCCGTTGTTTCATTTGAAATGTAATTTCCCAGCATGTCTGGTAATACAAAAACATCTATAAAGCTAAATTCAGATATATAAGAATTCGTCATTTGTAATGCTAACAAATTATTAAATCATGTTGTATATTCCAAATCTTATCCATGCCATTTTTAATAGTTTCTAGTATTTGATAATCTCAAACCAAAGAGCATTATAGCAGTGGTTATATTTTAATGTCTGATTAATGAGGTATCCTGTCTGTAGGTATTATGCCTCAACTATAATCATATTGAATCAATCATGCCAAGACTGAAGCCTCAGACTCACTTAACCCACAGACAACTGCTCTACCATAAAGTGCCCTCAAGTGGCTATGGGCAGCAAGGAGCTTCAAAAATAAACAGGTACTATTCTTTTTTTTAACAATTATAAATAATTTTGGTTGGGAATTACAAAACCAATTAGTCACATTAATGATAGTAGTGACACATTCTAGTCCATAGGTCTAGCTTATTTAGTAGTTAATAGCTGTGTTGTCGTTACCCCGTATGTGTAGAGTAGAACTTCTCCATAGGGTTTTCAAGGCTGTGACCTCTCAGAAGCAGATGGCCAAACCTGTCTTCCAGGGCTCCTCTGGATGGGTCCGAACTGCCAACCTTTCAGCTAGCAGTTGAACTGTTAACCATTTGCACCAGCCAGCTGCCTACTTAATAGCCACAAGTCAGAAGTAAGCTTCACAAATAAAAAGATACTCAAAATATTCCTTTGTCATTGCTTTTTCCCCTGCTTCCTCCATCCTGTGACCATACTGTAAAACAAAACAAAAACTAAGATTTTCTCATGTTTTCTTCAAAACGTTTTATGCTTTTGTTCTTACATTTAGGTCTATGATCCATTTCGCGTTATTTCTTGTATACATACATGTGAGATAAGGTGTGAGGTCTAAATTCTTTTTGCATGTGGTTGTCCAATTGTCCCAGCACTATTTGTTTAAAACACTATCCTTTCCCCATCTGAATTGCCTCTGGCACCTTTGTTCAAAATTAATTGACCATAAATATAAGAGTTTATTTCTGGGTTCTTTCTCAGTTCTATTCCATTAACCTATGTGCCTATGTGTCTGTCCATTTTTTTTTTTTTTTTTTTTTGTCTGTACCACACTGGCTTGATTACTGTAGCTTTATAATAAATTTTAAAAGCAGGGATTACAAATCCTCCAACTTTGTTCTTTTTCAAGATTGTTTTTATTATTCTGGTTTCTTTGCATTTTCATGTAAATTTTGGGATCAGCTTGTCGTTTTCTGGAAGAAAATCTGTTGGGTTTTTGATAGAGATTGCATTGACTCAATTGATCAGTTTGGAGAGAATTGCCATCTTAATGATAATGAGTCTTCTAATTCATAAACCTGAAATATTTCTCCATTTATTTATATCTTTAATTTCTTTCAGCAATGTTTTGTAGTTTTCAGTATACAAATCTTGTACATTTTTTGTTAAATTTATTCTGAAGTATTTTACGTTTTTGATATTATTATGAATAGAAGTGTTTTCTAAATTTTATTTTCAGAATTTCTGTAGTCAGTATGTAGAAATGCAATTGGCTTTTGTGTAGTAATCTTTTACCCTATGACCTAGCTGAACTCATTTAGTAGTTCAAGTAGTTTCTGGGGATTCCTGAAGATTTTCTAAATACAGGATCATGTCACCTGCAAATAAAAACAGTTTTACTTATTCCTTTCTAATCTGGATGCATTTTAGTTTTTTACCTGGCTATGCCAGTATTGCTTTTCATTATAATTCCTTCTGTGCTTCTTTATTTTTTTTACCATATACAAATATTTTTAAAAGAATAAAAAAGATTATTATATGAAATATAAAGAAACTATATGCTATATAGTTAATTCTGATTTATTAGTAAATTAATTCTTTTTTCTTAACTTCAACTTACAGTAAGTACATACCAAACTGTCTTTTTATGATACAGCTGGTTTGAAATTAAGTGTATGGTCTCAGACTTATCTGTCATTTCAGAGAAACAGTGGTCAGTGAAAATTTGCCTCCAATAATGCACAGTTTAGAAGTTCTTCATTTGGGCTACAATGGAATTTGTAATTTAATTCAGCTACAACTTAACAGGCTAAGAAATTTAAAGTTCCTCTTTCTACAAGGTGAGTAGCAATACTGTTAATGTGTAAATCTTAATTATTAAAGACTAATTTGCTTATTACCCTGTTTTGATAAACAAATATAAAAGCATCAATATTCACTTCAAACAGATTAATTGGCAAAAATATTTTAGTTATCAGAAATGAGTTTTTCTTGGGTGATTTACGTATTTTTTAAAACTATTTGTGAAGGAAAATATAACATTCTAGGATTATCTACAGTATTACATCATGATTTACTTTTTATATCATCCAAACCAAAAAAACCAAACCCATTGCCATCAAGAGATCTGCCCCATAGGTTTCCAAGGAGCAGCTGGTGGATTCAAACTGCCAACCCTTTGGTTAGCAGCCATAGCTCTTAACCACTGCGCCCCCAGGGCTCCTTTTATAGCTTGGTCAACTAAAACAACAACAAAAAGTAAACAGTAGTTCACAAGTATTTCTTGAGCCAAAATTGTTCAAAATTGTTCGAGAGATCAGCTTTTCTAAACTATGTTTTTAAATTTTTAATGTCTCTTTTTGCCTATCAAACGTGCTTGTGAATTGGGTCAGGAGCATGGAGACGTAGCCTTAAAAGAACAAGAAAATGAGCACAGCAACGACAGATCTTTTAACAGATTTATTGACCTGAAAAAGAACAGACAACCTAACTTTGGAAGCTCTGTTTTCATCTGATAATGTAAAGGGGGAGTATGTCTGTTGCCGTGGCTAGAGTGGCACGTCAGAGTGGGGCAACCTTAGGCAGGAAGTGAGGTTGTTTACTGTAATGGCTGCCATTTATTGAGTACTGACCAAACTAGTCATTGAGCAAGGTGTTTGTCTATGTACATTTTCACATTTAATCATCACGGCAACCCTATGTGGCATTTGGGGAGGACACAAGTGTAAGCCGTGAAAGATGAGATGATGTCAGGGTCTATGCGGGAGATTGTTGTTGTCGTTGTTAGGTGCCCTTTGAAATCTTTTGTTTAGCTGTTTTCCTTCATTATTTCTTCCACTAGCTTTAACTATTCTTCTGTTCACTTGAGGTACTAATTTGTTTTCTTGAGCCGCCCTTTAAAATCTTCTGTTCAGACCTTTTACTTCATCATTTCTTCCATTCACTTTAGCTACTTGTTTTTTACACTGATGAAAAACAAGTCTCCAGGAATTGACAGAATATTGACTAACTGATATTAGATACAAACTGTACCTAACTGTTCTGATTTATGTACAAATTCGACTTAGAGACAGGCTTGGGAACAACCTTGTTCATAATGCAGGAACTGCCAGTATTAATGATATGGTCGATAATTTCCACATTCTGTTGGATCACCTTTCTTTGGAACGTGCACACATATGGCTCTCTTCCAGTTGGTTGACCAGGTAGCTGTCTTCCAAATTTCTTGGCATAGATGAGTGAACACTTGTAGTGTTGCATCTGTTTGTTGAAACATCTCTATTGGTATTCCATTAATTCCTGGAGCCGTGTTTTTCACCAATGCCTTCAGTGCAGCTTGGACTTCTTCCTTCAATACCATTGGTTCTTGATCATATGCTACCTACTGAAATGGTTGAATATCAACCAATTCTTTTTGGTACAGTGACTCTGTGTATTCCTTCAATCTTCTTTTGATGCTTCCTGCATCGTTCAACTTTTTGCCCATAGAATCCTTCAGTATTGCAACTCGAGGCTTGAGTTTTTTCTTCAGTTCTTTCAGCTTGAGAAATGCTGAGCGTGTTCTTCCCTTTGGGTTTTCTAACTCCAGGTCTTTTGCACATTTGAATATAATACTTTAGCTGCCCTTTGAAATCTTCTGTTCAGCTCTTTTACTTCGTCATTTCTTCCATTTGCTTTAGCTACTCTACGTTCAAGAGCAAGTTTCAGGGTTTCCAAGGCTGTAATCTTTACAGACGCAGACTGCCACATCTTTCCCCCTGGAGTGGCTGGTGAGTTCGAACTGCCGACCTTTTGGTTAGCAGCTGAGTGCTTAACCACTGAGCCACCAAGGCTCCTTATGAGGGAAATTACAGACCTACGTTTCAGCTACTGTGTTAAATTTGATGGAGGGTGAGGAAAGTAGAGGCTGGTGAAGGGTGGAGCAGGGATACAGGGAGGGGGGTGAGTTAGAATGTTTAGGATTAAAGGTCACAGTTACCTAAAAATTTACTTAAGTAAGTGGGAGCTATTTACTTAAACAAGTGGAAGGTTTTCAAGCCATGATAAATGCTTTAGCTATAGAAATGTAATAGCCCATTCAGCTTAGTTGTTGTGGAGTTTTTTTTCTTGTAGTTGTTGCTGTTGTTAGGTGCCGTGGAGTCAGTTCGGAATCATAGCGACCCTATGTCCAGCAGAACAAAACACTGCCCAGTCCTGCACCATCCTCACAGTCGTTGCTGTGTTTGAGTCCATTGTTGCAGCTACTGTGTCAGTCCATCTTGTTGAGGGTCTTTCTCTTTTTCACTGACCCTCTACTTTACTGAGCATGATGTTCTTCTCCAGGGACTGATCCCTCCTGGTAACATATCCAAAGTATGTGAGACGAAGTCTTGCAATCCTTGCTTCTAAGGAGAACTCTGGCTGTACTTCTTCCAAGACAGACTTGTTCATTATTCTAGCAGTTCATGGTATGTTCAGTATTCTTTGCCAACACCATAATTCAAAGGCACCAATTCTTCTTCTGTCTTCCATATTCATTGTCCAGCTTCCACGTGCATATGAGGTGATTGAAAATACCATGACTTGAATCAAGCGCACCTTTGTCCTCAGAGTGACACCTTTGCTTTTCAACACTTTAAAGAGGTCTTTTGCAGCAGATTTGCCTAAAGCAGTATATAATTTGATTTCTTCACTGATGCTTCCATGGATGTTGATTGTGGATCCAAGTAAAATGAAATCCTTGACAACTTCAGTATTCTCTCTGTTTTTCTTGTTGTTGCTTATTGGTCCAGTTGTGAGGATTTTTGTTTTCTTTATGTTGAGGTATAATCCATTCTGAAGGCTGTGGTCTTTGATTTTCATCAGTAAGTGCTTCAAGTCCTCTTCGCTTTCAGCAAGCAAGGTTGTGTTTCTTTCTTAAATGTGTGTAGTTGGCATTGTAAAATGAATAATGACTGAAAATATGCTACTGTACACACTATTAAGCACTTGAAGCTGAAACCCATATGACTTTTATACCACTACACCTAAAATATTACCTGTCTTTAATTGTTAAAAGTGACATTCAGAATGCATAATTTCATGAAAGTGTGATATATTAGCACAACCGAATCATTTTGCTCAATTTGACTTTAATAAACTTTTTTTTTCATTTGTAAATAAGGCACTGGTACTTGTTTCGAAGTCTGTGATTTAATTCTGTGACCAATTTTATTGAAGGTTGTCGTAAGCTGTTATCGATTTCCATATAAGAATAGAGCAAAAGAATGTGGTAGATTTACCTTATTTCGTTAATTCTGAGACACCCACTTTTCATACTTTAATGTGTCTAAAATCTGGTGTGTCTTATTTGATGGCATGTCATGGTTTACCCAGCAGGGTTTTCTTTTCTTTCTTAGTGTACATAAACTTTTGGCACATCTCACAATTGTTGGTGTCTTAAATTCAATGAAATAATGTTAAATTTCAAGGAGAAAAATTCCAAGATCGTGAGATCATGTGCCAGATAAGGAGGATGAATATGGAATGAAACACAATATGGCACAGTAGAAAGAGCACTGAAATTAAGATGAAAGAAATCAAAGATGGGCCTGATGTTGCCACTTTTTTGTCTTTGATCAGTAATTTAATTTCTCTGTCACTCAATTTTCTGGTCTTCCAAGAAAGATAATATTTTCTCTGTCTTATTTTGAGATTCTCATAGCAAACACATATAAAAGCATTTGTAAATTCAAGAATCCTCATATAAATTTTCATTAGTATTTATAAAACTATTGGTTAATGCAGTAAAGAGAAATCATAGGTTATAAAAAAGGCATTAGGTCCCTAAAGAATGATATGAAGTCTCATTTGTTTAACATGATTCCAATGCAAAATCATATTGAAGAAAGAGCAGCACGATTAATATGCATTCTTTCAACTTAACAACACAAGTTGTTAAGTTCCATCCCTTTTAGAATAATCAGATATACCCAGGAAACAAATCTTTTGCAGCACTTTTATAGATCTACTTTTGTCAATATCAACTATTTTAGCACCTAATCACTGAAAAGAGAGAGTGGATCAATTCAGTATGTTGTGTACCTCACATCCTGATCTTTCAAACACAAATGAGAAGTTTTACCAAATATTATTTGATGCTGCTACTACCTTCCTGTAAGCTACATTTCCATTTTTCCTTGGAAATATTTTATTTTATGCAAATAACGTGCACCTTCTACATTTGTTTGCCAACCGTGCCCTCCTCCCCTGCATGGTATTTTAGTAAGCACGCTCTGCTAACTTTTTGTAGCAACATGTAAAAAAAAAATAGCATAGCAGCACTTACGGAAGTACCACTTGGAGGAGGGCACAGTTGGCAAATGTAGAGGGCGTGTGTTATTTATATAAAAATACAGTATGTGTGTGTCTGTGTTTTTCTTTTGACATTGCCACAGTCAAGATGCAGAACAGTTCCATCACCACAAGGATCCCTTGTGTTGCCTGTCCTTCATCTTTTTTGTTTGTTTGTTTATTGATGTAGTTTAAGTGAAAGTTTACATTTTAAGTTAGTTTCTTATACAAAAATTTATGCATACATTGTTATGTGACCCTAATTGCTCTCCTTATACTGTGACAGCACACTCCTCCTTTCCACCCCTAATTTCCCATGTCCATTCAACCAGCTCCTAACCTTCTCTGCCTTTCCGTCTCACCTCTGGAAGGAAGCTGCCCGTTTAGTCTCATGTATTCACTTGAGCTAAGAAGCACGCTCTTTACGAGTATCATTTTATGTCCCACAGTCCAGTCCAGTCTTTGTCTGAAGAGTTGGCCTCGGAAATAGTTTTAGTTCTGGGCTGATAGACAATCTGGGAGCCATGCTTTCCGGGGTTCCTCCAGTCTCAGTCAGACCATTAAGCCTGGTCTTTTTACTAGAATTTGAGTTCTGTACCCCTCCTTTCTCCTGCTCCATCAGGGACTCTGTTGTGTTCCCTGTCAAGGCTATGTTTTTTTATTACCTTACTTAAAAAAAAATCATTTGATAAAAAATATTTATTTGAAGATAGATAAAATTTAATTCAGGAAGCCTGGGCTCACTTGACATATCATGATTTATCTTTTTTCAGGGAATGAAATCAGTCAGGTTGAAGGTCTTGACAATTTAGTAGTCCTTCAGGAATTGGTAGTGGACCATAACCGCATCAGAGCATTTAATGACACTGCCTTTGCTAAGCCAAGCGCTCTGTTGGCACTTCACCTGGAGGAAAACAGACTTCGAGAGCTGAGTAAATTACAGCCTTTGATAAAACTAGAAAAGCTCTTCCTAGGATACAATAAAATCCAGGTAACATTATTCTGTTTTCTTGTTATGAGATTTACAAGCCTTAATCACTCTGAGCTCTGAACAGAAAGCTTCCAAACACACCAATGAAAATTTTGCTAGTGTGTTATTTATCATTCATATAACATGTATGTTTTAGGGAATATAAATACTTTGTGGTACAGAGATGTCTACCCTACTTCTAGACTTGTAAACCTGACCAACCCATATGTACCCACCCACTAATAAAGGTGAGCTCTAAAAGTTGTAAGGCTCTTCTCAGCAGTCCTCTCTGAGAAATCTCACCTGTTCCTGACTGCTCTTGGTGAAAGCTGTTTCTGCATCTCAATTCCAGACTTTAAACTTGGCATAGTACTTGATCTACCTGGCATTTAAATCAACTCCTGATAATGAAATTTGACAATGTCTCGCCACTCAAGGACTCCTTGGATAGAATCCTGCTCTAATTTTACCTGCTCAGAAGTCAAACTGTTACTCTTAGGCCACTGCCCCAACTGAACCAGCCCAAACTCTCTCCTCAAAGAGAATTTAGATAGGAGAGTTACAGACATAACATTATACAGCCCTAAGAATTCTTTCACAGTTTTAGTGATGGTTTGTTAGCCCTCCTTTTACCAATTTTACTACATCTGCCCATACCTCTAAGATAGCTTTGAAGACAGATTGAACTGTGGGCTGCCCGCCAAGAACAGGGACAAAGTCTGTCTTGTCCACATTTGTATCTTTAGTGTCTGAAACATAGTGCCTGAAACACAGTAGGTAATCTATAAATATTTGTGGCTCTACTTCAGGAAGCCCTTTCTAGGGTGGTGTAAAAATCCTGTCCAAAGACAGAAGAAAATCATGGGCAGTGCCCTTTTCTACATGACAACTAGGGAATGTACATACAGAGAAAAATGGTATACGACTAATTTCTCCAGGTTCCAACAGTCCTCCTCTGAAAAAAACCTGCCAAAACTGGCAATGATTCTTCCAAAGCTTTATCCAGAAGAAATCTAAATTAGGAAAATTATTATCCTATTAGAAATTTTTCTGATGATGGCAACTGAGCTAACAAAGGATTGTCAAAGGAGACATATACAAATCAGAGATCTTGCCGAGTATCAAGCTTTACCCGTAATTTCAAGGATACATACGGTCTGGGATATTCCAGTGGCTTCTCAGGGCCTTCCTTCCCAGATAGCTTAGTTTTATTACTATAACTAGGAATAACCTTAGCTAAACTTATTGGCTAATATTTTTGTTAGAAGTAGCATTTCAGAAATAATTTTGCAAAAACTAAAATATATTTGCAAACTTTCACTGATGTTAAGTGAACGATAGTAAATAATCACATCCGATAGGGAAGGCACAGAATTCAGCTATTTACAGTTGTCGTTTTTCATAATGTACTCCCAGCAAGTATATCACGATGCAGTCTGCTCAATATCACATGCTCCATTGTGGTTAAGATTGTATTTAATGTGTAACTTTGAAGTTGTTTAGGCTGGAGTCAACTTTTTCACACTTGTGGGTCAGTACTTTGGGAAATTAACCAAATACAATCTGAGTCCTAGAACAGATCATAATTTTTTTGAGAAAAATTTGGCCCTTTCTTGCAAGCGCTGCTATTATAGCCCATTTCCATGTTAGAATGTCATCGTTGTCAATCACGTATTTGTAATCTATAGCACATGGGTCTGTCTTTAATCAACAGTACAGAAGGTTGTCACACAAGCTCTCTTCAGAGGATTCAACTGTGAGCTAGATGCAGCCCAGCACTTACATATAATTACTTCAAATGGTCTAGATTGGAAGATGTTGAAACTAAACAAATAATAATTTATTGATTAAATTAACTTTTGAATAGGATATGGCAGAACTGGAAAAACTTGATGTCATCTCTTCTCTCAGAGAGCTTACAGTTTATGGTAATCCAGTGAGTATGTTATCTTTCTAATTTATTAGTCAATGTATTGATAGTTGTATATAATTTATTTTTATTTCGTATGAGAAAGGGATTTAATGCATATCCATATGCATAGCCAGTTATCCCAATATAATTTATTGATTAGTGTCTTCTTCCAACTGTTACAATACTGCCATAGTCATATATAAGAGGGTCTACTTCAGGGTTCTGTACAGTATTCGGAGCCCTGGAGGTGCGGTGGTTAAGAACTTGCCTTCTAACTAAAAGGCTAGCTGTTCGAGTCCACCAGCTGCTCCTTGGAAACCCTGTGGGGTAGTTCTACTCCGTCCTATGGGGTCACTATGAGTCTGAATCAACTCAATGGCAACAGGTTTGTTTATATATATATATATATATATATATGTGTGTGTATATATGTGCGTATATATATATATACTGTATTCAGGAGCCCTGGTGGCTCTGTGGTTAAGAGTTCAGCTGCTAACCAAAAGGTCAGCAGTTCAAATCTACCAGACACTCCTTGGAAACTGTATGGAGTAGTTCTACTTTGTCCTGTAGGGTTGCTATGAGTCGGAATCAATTAGATGGCAACAGATTTTTTTTGTTTTTTCATACTGTGTTCATTGGTCTATTTGTTTATCCCTACACCAATATTGTTGTTGTTATGTGCTGTCAAGTCAGTTCTGACATATAGCAACCCTATATCCAACAAAATAGAAGATTGTCTGGTCCTGCGCCATCCTCACAATCATTGTAATGTTTGAGCCCATTGTTACAGTCACTGTTTCAATCCATCTCATCCAGGGTCTGCCTCTTTTTCACGGACCTTCTACTTTTCCAAGCATGATGTCCTTCTCCAGGGACTGGTCCCTCCTGATAATATGTCCAACATACGTGAGACGAAGTCTTGCAATCCTTTTCTTCCAAGGAGCATTCTGCCTATATTTCTTCCAAGCCAGACTTATTCATTCTTCTCACAGCCCATGGTATATTAAATATTATTTGCCAACACCATAATTCAAAGGCATAAATTCTTCTTTGATCTTCCTTATTCATTGTCCAGCTTTCACATGCACATGAGGCAATTAAAAATATCATGGCTTGGGTCAGGTGTACCTAGTCCTCAAACTGACATCTTTGCTTTTGAACACTTTACAAAGGTATTTTGCAACAGATTTGCCCCATGCAATACTTTGATTTATTGACTGCTGCTTCCATGGGTGTTGATTGTGGATCCAAGTAAAACGAAACCCTTGACAACTTCATTATTTTCTCTGTTTATCATTATATTGTTAATTGGTCCAATTGTGAGGACTTTTGTTTTCTTTATGTTGAGGTTTAATCCATACTGAAGGCTGTAGTCTTTGATCTTCATGGATAAATGCTCCAAGTCCTCTTTGACAGTGTTAATTACCAATGTTTTCTATTAAGTCTGAATGTCTGGTAGAGTAAAATTTGTTGCCACGGAGTCTATTCTGACTCATAGTGACTCTGTAGGACAGAGTAGAACTGCCACATAGGGTGTCTAAGGCTGTAAATCTTTACAGAAGCAAGACTGCCACATCTTTCTCCCACAAAGTGGCTGTTGGATTTGAACCACTGACCTTTCAGTTAGCAGCCGAGTACTTAACCACTGCACCACCAGAGTTTCTCCCTGGTAGAATAAGCTCCTCTTATTCTTCTCCTCCTCTTATCTCTCCTCCTTCTCTTCCTCTTTTTCTATTTCTCTTTCTTCACTGTCTTGTCTGTTCTTGGCTCTTTACACTCCATATGAGTTTTAGGAGTAGCTTCTCAAGTTACATGAGAATTTTGTTGATATTTTAATTGGAATTGCATTGAATTTATAAATAAATTTTTTGAGAAAATTGCCACCTTTCCTGTTGGAGTTCTTTGAAGGGATCCAGTAAATAGCATTCTTGTTAACCTAATATCTGGACAAATTGAGAAATATGACAGTAGCAGATGGAGAGGTGAAAGCCAAATGGTCCTGCTAACTGAACCCAGAAGCAGGCTATCATAATCACCCAGTAACAGGAAATACTAGATTGGGGCCTTTCTTCATGGGAGGAGAGCTTCATCTGAAGTAGAATGCATTCTTCCAGCAATAAACTCCTTCCCAAGAGGAAAGGGAAGAGCCAACCATGCCCACTTTAATCTTCCCAGATTTACCAGTTATAAGTCACTCTGCTTCCCTTCTGCACTAGGTTACAAAGCACTGCTTTAACAGCATCCTAAAAGTTTTGGGGAGTGTTTTTACTGTTCTTTATTTCTTAAAATCTTCTACTTTCTAAAAGATTTCTTCTTTAACTCATGAGTTTTTTAAATGTGTATGCGTGTTAATTTCAAACTTATGGGGGTATTTTTAGTTACCACTTTGTCATTGATTTCTAATGTTGTTATGTTTTAGTCAGAGGAGACAATCTATCTATATATTCTTTGACATTATGAAACTTTCTTTGTGGACCCAAATATGGTCATTGTTTGTTTTTGTTTTTTTTAATCAATTTTGTGTCCAGAGTCTCTATGAGTCGGAATCAACTCGACGGCAGTGGGTTTGGTTTTTATGTGTCTTAGAGCTCTTTCTCAGTGTATATGTATCTACTACATTCTTTTAAAATGTTTATTCATTCCCTTTTGATGGGCTTTTGATTTGTTTCTTCTTTTTTCTTTTTCTTTTTTTCTATTACAAACAATGTTGCAATAAACATCCTTGTACATACCTTCTGTTCTGGGAGTCTCCAAGGTCATCCCCACAGTCAGAGATTTGCTAGAAGGACTCATGAGACTCTACGTAGAGTTGTACTAGTGGCTAAGATTTATTATAGTGATGTAGTAAGGATACTCATGGTGACCCCGTGTGTGCAGAGTAGAACTGCTCCATAGAGTTTTCAAGGCTATGACCTCTAAGAAACAGATTGCCAGGCCTTTCTTCTGAGGTGCTTCTGAGTGGGTTTGAACCACCAACCTTTAGGTTAGTAGTGGAGCGCTTAACCAGTTGCGCCACCCAGGGACTTCTTTTTTTAGTAAGGATAAGAGAAAAAGAGTCTAGAGGAACCCATGAGCAGGCTTCATTATGCACTTTCTCTTCCATGAGGGGTCACACAGAGCACCCTCTTCTACCAGCAGCAAAAATGCAGCAAAAATGTGTGCAATGTTTTTGCCCAGGGTAGCCCATTGGAGACTCAGTGTTCAAGGATTTTATTGGGTGCTGGTCACTTAGGCAGTCTTTGCCTAGTATGTACTTAAATTGCGAACCCTTAGGAGAAATGCAGGTGTTCAGCATAATTACATTGTTTGTATATATTGTCTAAGCACAGTGAGCCACCCTTATGAGTTAAGGAATGATGGTGACACTCCCTGAATCCAAGTACCCAGATGCTAGTCAGGAGCCAACCTTGCAAACAGAACCTTACAAAGATAATAGTCTCAGGCCTATTATGTTGACCCTTTTCTGCATACCTTCCTATGTAGATATGCAGATATTTTTAGGGTAGATTGATACTATGAATTGTTGGATATATGGTCAATAGATATGTATTGAATTAAATTGGACAGTGCCTGTGGGAAAATATTATTTATTTAAAATCAATTACTTATAAGTGAACTTTTGCAATATAATCCTGTTCATGAGTTTGGTATTTCCTGTAGTTAATGAATGATACTGTATACTCCAGAAAGAAACTACACTTACAAATGGGTAGCCTTAATAAAAAAGAAATGAAAAGTTCTTATCCTCATTTAGCACTACAGGGAATTGAGATTGAGATGTGTTTCAAAAAGAGAACTCTCTGTCAATGTTAATCTTTGAAATAGAAGTTTAATAAAAGGCTTTTTTTTAAGGAATAAAATGTTATTTTCAACTTTATTCAGATTTGTAGAAAAGTGCTACACCGCCACATGCTCATATTTCGACTGCCAAACTTACAGATGTTAGATGGAATTCCTGTGAATCCAGATGATAGGGCAAAAGCTGAATTTCATTTCTCTGAACTACAGGCAAAGAAAAATTCGGTAATAATTGTATTATTTACATTTTTCCTTTTGAAATATGTAAATTATTAATACATGAATTTTGACTTGAATGTTTAAATCTTGGCTGTGATGTTTCTGTATATTATATTAGTATCTATTTTGTGATTATTATCAAAGAAAGCTTGATCTAGTGAATAGAGCACACACACACACACGCGCACACACTCCAAGTTCCGTTTTTTAATAATGTACTTTAACCTAAGGAAAATTATTTAATACGTTTGTGTATCTTCCTCAATATCGGATGATGCTAGAAGATATGAAGTTATAAACATAAACTAACAGTAAAACTGTTTCATTTAGGCAGATAGGAAGGGAAGGAAGGAATTCTAAGCTCAACTCTCTGGACCGTGTAGTTCACCCAACAAGGAAGAAGTGTCTTCTTTTCTTGTACACTGGCAGAATAATTGGGCCTTTTGCCCATGCACCTTAAGAAAAGTATATGGCCATAGCAGGAAAGAGATTTAGAGAGAGAAAAATCATAAAAAGCATATCATTAGGAAATGCTGTCATCTATAGTTTTGTAACAGAGAAGTGACGTTATTAGAGCTGTGCCTTTGCAAGGTTTGAGGAAGGAGAAACTGGAGGCAGGAAACCAATTAAGAAGCTTCAAGAATAATTGAGGAGAGATGTTTTGAAGACCTGAGGTGAGAGTGGTGGTAGGGCAGTTAGATTGTAAGTGAACCTCTGAAGTAAGCCAAAGCCAGAGAGCAAGGACATTGGAGTCAGTGAACAAAGGTCACGTTTTAAAAGTCATGTTGAAGAAGTAAGAGAGAAGACTGTTGTAGATGCCCTCCTGATGGCCTTCACTTAACTACCTCGCTGGGTTAACTGGCATTCTCCATTCCCACTATAAAACAAGCTAACTGATCCCGAGAGCACACTGAATTCTTAATACTCACAGGCAACCAGAGTAGACTCCTCCCTAGTCCACTCTGCCTTCAACAATAGATTCATATACTTATCAAGAGTTGCCTGTGGTTTGTCAAAAATCTGTTATGCCAGTTCTTGTTATTTTAAATAAACATAAATCGTAAGTGCAAAATTTAATTTACTATCTCTATGTTTCTGTAAAAACCAAATAGGATATTTTGGAAAGTCTGGATAAAGATCACACAAACACACATGCTGTCAAATTATGTGTGAGAGAAAAAAATCTGTAAGATATGGGAAAAATAAAAATAAAAATTCAGGCAAAATAGTGGGAAAACTGTAAAAAAAAGTTTTGATTATTATGTTCAAATTTCCTACGCATCTTTAAATTCTTGCTACTTTAAAGAAACCAAAATTAGAAATTGTAGGCAAAACCTCTTAAGGGCATGATTTATCAAAGAAAAAGAACAATCAGATAAAATACCAATCAAGGGATACTTACTTACAGAAAAAGCCTTGGCCCTTCATCAAAAGATTGATGAATACCTGTACTTTTATATGTTTTAAATGAAGATGAATATGATTTATACATATAATTTTAATGACTCCCTGACTTTTTAATTAACCCTCACTTTTTTTATTAACCTCAACTTATTTTAATTAACAGAGGGCTTCTATTGTAGGTCAAAATGGCTACAGAGTACAGTGTTAATAAAGGTTCTTTAGGCAAAGAAATCAGTGTCATGTGTAAGAATTTAACCATGTTTCCACTTAGTCTGTATGTAAATATTTTATTTAAAATTTGTATTTTTGATTCATCTATACATGGTTGGAGCCCTGGTGGCACAGTGGTTAAGTTATACAGCTGTTAACCAAAAAGGCTGGCAGTTCAAATCCACCGGCTGCTCCGTGGAAACCCTATGGGACAGTTCTACTCTGTCCTTTAGGGTCGCTGTGGGTCAGAATGCACTTGACGGCAACGGGTTTGGGTTTTTTTGGTTGTTGTTGTTATACTTGGTTAGTAAAATAAAGGAGGTATTTTAAGTCTTTATTTTGGAAAACTCTATTTTAAGATTCAGTAGTAATTGTCATTTTCATGGCCAGAACAAAACTGAGCCATTGTTTCTTCTAGCTGTTCAGAAAACAAAAGAACAGAAAACTTTTTAATTTTATCAGTTTAATCTAGTGTTTTTCTTTGTTTCAGTTGCTGTTGTTCTTTCTTTTATAACAGAAGATAAAGAAAGAGTAAATGAAATCTAAAGTTTTCTTTAAAACCAAAACATTTTGATGCTTTAGTTTCAGAAGAAAATTTGACAGCATTCTAGGTTCATGATGAGAAGACACTCCCACAAAGGAATTAGGAAATTTGGTACTGACAAGTTTTAGTAAAATGCTGGTGATCTTAGAACTCAGAACAAAGCTGCATTCTTGGTAACACTTACTGAAGTATGAGGGAAAATGACAGTTTTACACAAATGGCAAAGCCTGCATGTCTGAATGAGTTAGATCATATGTTTTGAATTCATATTTTTAAAAGTATAAGCAAGGCCAGTCTTAACGAAGGCAGAGCAGGCATAAATTTCTAGGGAAATTTAGTACCCTACCTAAAATCCTTCTCCTCTCCATTTGCTGATTCCTAAAATTCTTTTGAAAGCCTCTTAATCCTTGACTAGCTTAAAATTTAAACACTATTTGGAGAGTTAGCACATTCTTTGAAACTGATTGTTAAATGTTTTTCTTAGTCCCCATTTTACTGTTTGTTTTGAACAATAATTAACTACAAGGCACCTAATGAGGTAGTGTGAGGAATACAAAAATAGAAGAAACATTACAAAAGTTGAAATGTCTTAATTTTCATTTTTTCAATTCCACACTTAACCTCGTTACTTTGGAAAGAAGGTGGTGCCATCAAACAGTAGACTCTAGTAATGAGTACAACCCAATCTGAAAAGAAAGGACAGAAGTTTCCGAGGGAGGTTAAGGGCCTCAAAGGCTCTATTCTTCAGTTTCGCCTAGTACCAACTCTAGGTGTAGACTAGCATTTAACTTCTGACTAAGTTGATTGTCAGCCGATGCTTGTGGTAAGCACTAAACTTATTGATCTGAGTTTTGGAGGTGAGGCGTTTTTAACTTTTATTTTATTACATAGTTCGTTCCTGTTACCAACTCTCCGATGGATGGTGGATCTTTTGGCCAAGTGAAAGCTCCTCCCATAAAAATAACAAATGTAATTCTGCCTGGTGGATTTAACCATTACTTGGGATCTGACTTCACTTTAACTCCTGAAGTTGAAGGTATTTTGACAAACACCTTCAGAGTGAATGTAAAAGAAACACTTCATTTGAAACAAAAATCTCTCTTTGATTTCTAATATTATTACTGAAAATTGCATGTTTTAAGTTTACATTTCCTAAAATTACATGTCTGTTCAAGTTTTATGTGGTCATTCTGATTTCAAAGAGACTATAGTATTTGTTGATTCTGCTCAGCTACTAGTATGTTCTAACTAAATATTTGCTCACAATTTGAACCCTGTGATACTTGCACCACTATTTCCTGATGTCTTTCCAAAGCTTTTATTTCATTTTGTGTATTTCAGAGCAAACTGCTACTAAAACCAGTTCATTAGTATGACCTGCTAAAAGTAGAAGTCAGAGGTTAAAAAATATTGGTAATAGTAAAATCTTGGGATACAAAGAGAAAGTCAGACTTTTTCCTTGAAACCACTAGTAAAATATTCATGAAGCTAATAGTAGGCAAGAGATTCAAGCGAAGGAGCTTTAAAGGAGAAAATGTATTAAAGGGACAGGGCACAAAAATGGATTATCATATGCATTTTAATTCAAGCATAAAACAAGACTTTTCCCTAATCCCACATCTTCACTGGCTGTCATCATGGCTGAAATGGGGATAGCTGCAACACTGCTACTCCTTCTCTGAGGGCTCACCTCTGCCATTTCTTTTAACTTCTCACTTTGTCCTCAGGCCACTATTAGACAATAAACCTGAATATCACAATAATTATAAAATGGTCTAAGAGCCTAGTAAGAATAGGAGATAGCTCTATGTGGTTTAAGAATTTAAAGGATACCCAGTTAAAAGAACACAGCATAATTTATTCTGCTAAGATGTTTTAGTAACTTATTTTTCATACTTCTGCATTTTTATGGTGTCAAACTTTTAGCATAGTAAGGATCTTTATGCGTTTGTGCAATAGATTTAATTGTGAACAAAACTGACATGTTTTTGTTATTGTTGTAAAGTGCCATCAGGTAGGTTCTGACTCACAGAGACCCTATGTACCACAGAAGGATACACTGCCCTGTCATGCACTATCTTCAGTCACTGCTGTGTTTGAGCCCATTGTTGCAGACACTATGTCAATACATCTTGTTGTGGGTCTTCCTCTTTTTCACTGACCCTCTGCTTACCAAGCATGATGTCATTCCCCAGGGACTGGTCCCTCCTAATAACATGTCCAAAGTACATGAGACAAAGTCTCGCCATCCTTGCTTCTAAGGAGCATTCTGGCTGTGCTTCTTCCAAGACAGATTTGGTCATTCTTCTTGCATTCCATAGTATATTCAATATTCTTTTCCAACACCATAATTCAAAGGCATCAATT